CTTTGTCAAACCAGGGCTTAAAAACCTCCAAGATTCCACCACCTCCCTAGGTAACCCATTCCAGTGCTTCACCATCCTCCTAGTGAAATAGTTTTTCCTAATATCCAACCTAAACTTCCCCCACTGCAACTTGAGACCATTGCTCTTTGTTCTGTCATCTGCCACCACTGAGAACAGCTGAGCTCCATCCTCTTTGCAACCCCCCTTTAGGTAGTTGCTGCTATCAAATCCCCCTCACTCTTCTTTTCTGCAGATTAAATAAGCCCAGTTCCCTCAGCCTCTCCTCATAAATCATGTTCCTCAGCCCAGCCCCCTAATAATTTTTGTTGCCCTCTACTGGACTCTCTCCAGTTTCTCCACATCCTTTCTGTAGTGGGGGTCCCAAAACTGGACACAATACTCCAGATATGGCCTCACCAGTGCAGAATAGAGGGGAATAATCACTTACCTCAATCTGCTCTCCTGGACTCCTTTCCCCCTCATATTAGCCTCCCAGGGGATCCTGCCCATCAATTCCCTGAGGGAATCAAAGTCTGCTTTTCTGAAGTCTAGGGTCCGTATTCTGCTGCTCTCCTTTCTTCCTTTTGTCAGGATCCTGAATTCGACCATCTCATGGTCACTGCTGCCCAGGTTGCCACCCACTTCTACTTCCTCTACCAATTCTTCCCTGTTTGTGAACAGTAAGTCAAGAGGAGCACGACCCCTAGTTGCTTCCTCCAGTATCTGCACCAGGAAGTCGTCCCCAACGTTCTCCAAAAACTTCCTGGATTGACTGTGCACTGCTGTATTGTTCTCCCAGCATATGTCAGGATGATTGAAGTTCCCCATGAGAATCAAGGCCTGTGATCTGGAAACTTTTGTTAGTTGTCTGAAGAAAGCCTCATCTACCTCATCCTCCTGGTCTGGTGATCCTTGTTACTCTTGCCTCTAAACTTAACCCAAAGACTCTCAACAGGCTTTTCTCAAGTTTCATACTGGAGCTCTGAGCAATCGTACTGCTCCCTTACATACACAGTGCAGGGTATAGCCAGAGGATATTACGTTGAGCACCCAACGGTCTGAGGTCAGTCGTGACCAGGCCAACTGGAAGGGACATGGGTGGTTGAGGAAAGAGTAGGAAGGTAGATCTTGGGATGTGACTGGGTGTCGTCCTTGAGCTCACCCTCAAAATGCCTGTTTCTGGCTTTCCTGGTTTCTGGAAGGGCTGGGCTGAGCAGATGAATGGGAAGATGAGGGGTGTCATTGTTTAAACCCTTGCCTCTTTCCCTTTTTCTATAGGTGCTCAGCCAGAAAGTTCTGCAGGACCTAGGCAGAGGAGGCGGAGGACAGAAGTACTTCCTGGCCTGCTGAGGAGCATGAAGGCCCAGAGAGTGGAAGGTGGCACAGGAGTCTTTCAGATCGTGCAGCCATGCATCCATGAGCTTGGAAAAGAGCCCAGTTCCCTCAAATGGGAGGTCCTGCAGAGTGGACTGCATCTCCTGGGATAACCAAGACTGCAACCAAGAGCTGCACCTCGTTACGACCGCAGAGGCAACAACGCTGGCCACCAAATCCGTCATGTCCCAGGCCATCTGGAGGGCACCTTTGGCTAGCACTGTGCCTTCCCTCCACTAAAGCGACGAACTCCTGAGCTCGATCCTGTGGGAGGACCTCCTTGAATTTACCAAGGGAGCCCCACAGATTAAAATTGCACCTGCCCAACAAAGCCTGGTGGTTAGACATCCGAAATTGCAGGCTGGCCGTTGAATAAATATTTCTGCCAAATACGTCGTCTTTAGCGTGCCACTTACCTGGCCCTCTCATTAACAGCAGACACAACCAGCTGGAGGGTGCGTATAAAGGTATTCAAATCCCTTTGCAGGGACTTAATACTTCTTTTCCGCCTTCTTAGAAGTGGCTGAAATAGAAGAGGGGGTCTGCCACAGCGACTTTGTGATCTTAAGTCTGGGAGGGCCCACCACCACTTTGTCTGGCAGCGAAGAGGACAATGGCATCACAAGGGGAGGGGCAGGTTCCCCTTTCCTTTTTAGTGATGGCTCCATAGCCATTAGAGCCTGCTGTGCTTCCCCCACGTCGGATTCCGCATTGTGCTCTGCCCCGGTGCCAGCAGTGCCTTGGGTGGTTTGTCCGAGGTGGCGAGGGAGGAGTGGTGGGAGTACAGGACTGGCATCATCGGTATGCCCCAAGGATTCAAATAAGGCCATTGAATAGGCCACTGTCCTTGCTGCCATGCTGCCGCCACGGATGCCGTGCCAGTCTCGCGGGTCAGCGGTGATTCACCCTTTCTTGGCGAGGGCCTGAACTCCTGCTCTGAACCAGACCATTCCCCTTCCGGCAATGAGGGCAGAGATGTGGAAGCCTGTGTCTGCCAACTGACCCTTGTCGGACACCGGCGTGTAGAGGGCAAGGATCGATGCCTGCCCGACAAGCAGTACCGGGGTGGTGATGACCAGTGCCACGATGCGGAGCAGTCCTGCACTGGTGGAGACTGATGCCTGGGAGATCGTCTCGGTGATAGTGACTTGCACCATGGTGATCTCTGGCGGGAGGTTCACCAGTACTGCGAGTACAGGGACCGGTGCCTCGACACTGGCATTCCATGCCTTACAGAAGGAGAGTGCAGCACTGGGGCCTTCTGCCCGGAGAATGGGGTTGCAGGGCCAGGGTCCTAGGCTGTGGTGATAGGGACCTAACCCTGCAGTTCGGGGATCGATAGTGTTCCACTGCCTTTTGGGCGGTCCCATGACTGGCTTGTCCTTAGACGGTAGGGCCTTTGTCCAGTCTGGCATTTGGCGCATCTGCAGTGTTGGCCGGCCCACTAGATTTTTAGCCACCTGGGCTGCTTCAGGCAACGAAGGCCCTAGGAGGAGCCAGGGTCCCCTGCTGCTCCTGGGAGTTGGATCCCTGGCTGGGCGTGGGGGTCCAACCGCAGCAGTACCCCCTTGGAGCTCTGGGGTGGGCACATGGCCTGACATAGGTTCTTTGCCCAAGGCTCTCTTCCCTTCCTTAGGTGGTGCCGGGGAGCCCTTCTGCTGCTGCTTCTTGGGCATTGGCAAGGGGGAACAATGCTGGACTGTGACTGGTGCCGGTAGTGCATTCCGCACCAATGCTCAAGTGCTAGGAGTGGAGTCCAAATGAGAGGGCTCCAACACTGGACAAAGCTCAGCCTCCATGAGGAGGGCCCTCAAACGGATATTCCGCTCCTTCTGGGCTCTAGGGCAAAAGTTCTTACAAATCCTGCACTTGTCCTTCATTTGGGACTCCCTCAAGCACTTCAAACAGCTGGCATGGGGGTCACTAATAGGCATCAGCCTGTTGCATGACTAACATGGTTTGAAGCCCAGGAAATGAGGCATGCCCCGCTCCGGGGCAAAGTCCAATCCGGGACTCTGCTACTAAACTAACAACTAACACTTAAACTAATGGCTAAGTACCTAAGAACTATACACAAAAGAGGTAAAAATAGCTGTTATTACCTAACAGCTAACGCTCTTGCAATGCGAAACAATGCACTCTAACCGACCATTACACACAGTAAGAAGGAACTGAGAGGTCACAGGGCTGGCGGCGCCTAATATACCGGCTCATGGGCGCAGCACTCAAGAGGGTGCTACAGCTGACCTTACGGATACCATTAAGGCAACTGGACGTGCACAAGCTTAGAATGGAATCGACATGAGCAAGCACTCAAAGAACAATGGGTTTAATATCAGAAGGACTGTTGCTTTTGAATGACTCCACATAGAAGTTGTTGGGGGGCAGGGGGGGGAGACAGCTAAAACCCAAAACTTCCCCAGAAGCAGTACGTGGCCAAAAGGGGGACAGAGCCTGCTTTAAAAGAGGAGTACTTCTCTAAGCAAGGTCAGCAAGACCAAACCATCACAACATGCAAGAAAGGCCATGCTTTGAAGGCTGAGCCTAAGGACTCTGACCAAACCTACGAGTTACAGAAAGAGTGAGATCACGTTTGGGGGACTGCATTCAGTATTTTGTTTTTCCAAAGATCTGTAACTCTCTAGTGTGCTTTGTTAAGAGTAAAGTGTAGGTTGTTGCTAAGGCTTTGTTCCTTGCTTTCCTGTCACACTGTTCCTGAAGGATTTAACTAGAAACCAGAGCTTCCATAGCCAGGTGGACTTGGGGCAGTGGGGAGAGAATGTCTCTAAGCAACTGGGAGTTTGGCAGGGTTGTGGCACTAATTCCATGGTCTGAAAAGGCCAGACTTCAAGATCCACTACCCAAGAAAGGTGTCAGATTCAGTGACTGCATATGGAAGTGTGCCTGAGAGACCCTGAGCTAGGAGGGCTTAGAAGCACATGAGATCTAGCGACTGTGTCCACTAACAACAGATTGGAGTCGGTCCAGAGGAGGAAAGCAGGCCAGGTCATGACAGGGGATTTAAGCAATGTGAGTGGGGACCTGTGGGGAGTAAGAAGTGCAGCTACTGATGTACATGAATCCCTTCTCTGTTGTAGAATAGACTCCGACAAGAGAAATGTAGTACCCGCTGTACATTTGTGTGCCGCCTCTCCACTGACTCCATCAACCAATTAGGATTGCACGCACAGTGCATAAACTTTCAGTTATGGGCATGAATAATGGCTAGAAGTGACTCTAAATTCAACAACGAAGAAAAAAGAACAGCCTCCTTCTTGCAACCGTTTCTTGCTAGCATTCCTACCTACCAAGTTTTGTGTAGACAGACAATGTTTTATAAGAGATAATCAGACAACAATGAAAAGCACAACTGCCAAGGGAAAACTTCAGCCAGAGCCCAATTTCAAAGGCTTTCATTTAAAACCGTGTGAAAATAACAACAACAACTACAAAGAAAATTCAAAGGGCATAAAAACTAGCAAGGTCTAAAATTTCACAGATTACCCACCTACTTTTAGAGAAATCCACCCCAGGAAATTATGCCTCATGTTGAAATCATTACCAGGGAGAGCAAGAATAAGTTATAACAGGGATAACCACAAGACTCATGATGAGGAGCATGGATCTTTCCTAATGCATGAAATAACTCATTTATTTCATTTCCCATTTTGCACATTCAGGATTTTCCAAGTAGCAAATTAAAATTAGCAGTTGGAAAGAACACAGGCAGGTATTTAATATTTTTCTTTACTTCCAAAATCATACATGCTTCTTATACTAATACAAAATGTAATTAACATACTGATTAGTGATATCAAACATATGCAGTATTCTTAAAGAATCATATGAATTATATATAAAAATACAAGTAGCAAATGTCAAAAAATGTCAAGTTAAAGTTACAGTAGGATGATTTCTGAATATTTGCCATTACTGTAATATAAACAGAAACAGCAACAATAGTTCAGATGTAAGTGTGAATATTTTTAAGTTATTCTTTGTGTTTCTTGTTAAAAGTTTAACCACCCAACAAATTTCCTATTGTTTTTGTTCCTGTTTGACAAACAGATTTGATTTCCCTCTACCTAAAGGGTATGAATTAGTATTCTTTTATTATCTCTTTGCTTTCAGCAGAATTATTAATTTGTTACACAGCTCTAGGAATAGATTTAGCTAATTGCGGCTGCTGTACCAGTATTAAGGCACGATTACAGAAAATACTTAAGCATGTTTGTAACTAAAATGATGTCAGTGGTTCGATTGACTACGTTACACATATGCTTACCAAACATGTGCTTACACATGTACGCACACTGAATCATAGCCTTAGAGCATGCAAACTAAGACATATTCAGTCCAGGTCCTACATTAACAAGTTGCTATTGTTTAGTTTCTAATTGCTGGAGAGCTTCAGACGCCTCTGAAGAAGTGTTTTTTTACCCACGAAAGCTTATGCCCAAATAAATCTGTTAGTCTTTAAGGTGCCACCAGACTCCTTGTTCTTTTTGTGGATACAGACTAACACGGCTACCCCCTGATACTTTTTTCTTATGTAAACTGGACTCAGGTTACAAACCCACTTTAAATAAGATACATAACAAATATAAGATGATAAAAAACTTTCATTCACTACATTTCTGGACGATTTTAAAATTAGTAACCTGAAGTTAAACAGTTTTGTTTCCCATGACCATGGTCCTTCAAATTCCTCTACATCTTCCCTTTTTACGTGTTTTAAATTTTATCAATATATGTTGAGCTCCTGGATCTTAAAGTGGCTTTTAAATAATACTTTACAAATCCTTAATCTAGATTCTCTAAGTAAAAATTGGCTTGTTTTTCCGTAATAATAAAGCAGTGGGAATTAGAACAGTCTATCTTCTCCATCTTACAAACTGATGACAGATCATAATTTATATGCATATTCTAGATTTCAATGCTCTTTTATTGCTGTTTCTGTCTACCGAGTAAATGCATTTTTTGAAACTTGGGTAAGTTAAGTATTTACATGCTAAACTAGAGTACTAGCCTACCAGGTAATAAGTGCATGCAGAGTTATCTAACAATTAGGCTGCCATTTTAACTTGCACTTTGAATTCTCTCACTATTGTAGATTTAAATGGGTCCTTTTCATATTCACTTGAATGCACTTTGTTGGAAACCTGACATAAGAGAAAGCTTTAACTAAAAATAGTTTTATGTTGTCTGATAGTAGCTATGAATCTAAAGTTATCTGTACCACTGTAATGAGACCTACAGTTACAGTTCAAAATTAACAAGATTGGGAAATTTATCAGACAGCCAAATGTTATTTTAAAGCAGCAATGAGAAGTTCCTTGAACTTCTCTAAATCACACTTATTAATGACAAAAGCTTTATTTTTCTTCTTAAGAAGACCGGTCATATCCATTACCATCATTCCTCTAGTTAGTGAGCCATTCAGCTCCACACTTACAGCAACTTCTATGGCTTTTGTGACAAAGCTCTCGTCAATTGCAGCAGCCATAGCATAGGAATCACAAGACACGAATCCTGAAGTCCATAACATGTTGCCTGTATTTTCGTGTTTTGACTCTGTGAATTTTATGCTGTGAGCAGATATTTTCTCCATGAATTTAGCTTTTTTGGTGTCCTGATTAACCCACTCACGATAGAATTCCTGCAAACCAAAAGAATAATGTTGGCAATTAAAAAATGAAGAGAAACATTGGGATATAGCTTCATGCCTCCTTTTGCAATTAAGTCAAGACTACCCAGCATTAGAGCATGTACACAGCTTTAGATACAGTTATTTTTACATTCAAATTCAGGGAGCTCTGATTTAGGACCCAGTCCTGTAATCTGATCCATTTGGACATACCCATGCAGACTGAGTTTCACCAGATTTACCTTTAACATTAAACATTTGGTATCTTACCCAAGACAAAGAATTGTGACATGTAAATTCCCATGATGCAATATAAGTAGGGCAAGTGAACTCATTTAAGACAACATAAGCAGCTTCTGGATCAGTTGCAAAATTGAATTCTCCACAGATCGTAGTATTTCCTCTGGCTAACAAAAACCGAAAAAATAACTGTTCAGTATATTTGCTTATTTTCTTCAATCATTTTACTTTTCAGTACCAAAACTTACAGTATTTAGTGCACCTTGTTCATTTTGCTTAGCAAAAAATCATAACACAAAAAAGAACATGTCCAAAATACACCATATTTTTAGCATTAAAATACTATCATAAATTTATCTTCTTATAAAATTCCAACAAAGATTTAACTTCAAGTTAAGGTCATTAAAAGGTATTAACTGTGAGTGCGATTACTAAATATCAAGGAAATCACATATTATGGCAACATTCACAACTACACCATCTCATTTGGGGGGAGGGATAGCTCAGTGGTTTGAGCATTGGCCTGCTAAACCCAGGGTTGTGAGTTCAATCCTGGAGGGGGCCATTTGGAATCTGGGGCAAAAATTGGGGATTGGCCCTGCTTTGAGCAGCAGGACTAGATGACCTCCTGAGGTCCCTTCCAACCCTGGTATTCTATGATTCTATGATTTCCCATACTTAATCTAATACATAAATGCATGCAGTCTAGCAATCTTATACAAAAGACCACACAGCTTCTGAATAAACATACTGGAGTTATTAGTTCAAATGTTTGCCTACTGATCATTTTGTAAATGACTTACATTCTATATTTCCTCCCATGATGAACATATTTTTAAGCTTCATAGGAAATGTTGGATCCAATTTCACTGCCAAAGCTAGATTAGTCAAAGGACCAGTGGCAACTAGAGAAATCTACAAAACATAAACAAAACGCTTCTCTGTACATGTTACTCCAATGAAAACAAACCAAGAGAGACCCCAGATCACATTTTTCTCAGTGGCTTGTTTTAAACATTTGTTTACAGTTCTGTTAAAGCAACACTCCATCTCTGTGACTTCATCTTCTGGTGGATTAATTCTCCCACTTGCCAGAAGTATTAGCTATGTTGGGGTTTTTTGGAACTCTCACTGCAGATGTCTGGGAATCCCATAGAAGTCACATACTTCTTTTTTCATATGTAGTTGTTCAAGACATTACAGTCTTTTCTTGCTTTTATTGGACTACTGCAATAAAAACTCTACCGGGAGCTATCTATAAAGATCACTCAGAAGCTGCAGCTAGTCCAGAATGAGGCTAGGTGTAGTGAGTTGATATGAGCACACTGTGCCTGGGCTCCAGAGGTTATACTGGCTTCATATCTGTTATGAGTGCAAATTCAAGGTGTTGTTTACCATTGAAACATGATACAGTTTAGAACCTGGCAATTAAGAGAAAAAAATGTACCTCCATCATTATGACATAAATTAGTTAAGATACTTTTGAGGACTGGAGGCAAGATATTTTCATTGGAGAGTGATCTGAATGTGGGTATGTCTACAATGCAATAAAAAACTTGTGGCATGGCCATGGCGCTTGGACTGTGAGTCTATAAAAGTACCATGTAGCTGTTCGGGCTCTGAGATCCCGTGAGAGGGAGGATCTCAGAGCCCATGCTCCAGCCTGAGCCCGAACAGTTACACTGCAATTATTAGCCTCAAAGTCCAAATTCCGAGACTCCATGCAGCAGGTTTTTTTATTGCAATGTACACATACCCTGTAGAGCTCTGAGCTCACTCCCTTCGATAAGCCATCAGAAGCAGAATCTACTAGCTTTCAAAAGAGGGAAATCTGTATGTTCTTGCACTATTTACATAGCTAGGTAGTAAAATGAGGGGCAGAACGGACCTGTAGGTGATTTTCTTAAAAAAGTTATCCGTGCCCTATATTGGTAAGATGAGGCAGAGAAGATCAGATTCCTCAGTATTTGGTTGAGGAAACATAATAAGGACGACTAGGTTTTTATGTCTTTGGGAAGCAAGGACATCTGTTGGGGAAGAAACTCTAAATGGCCTTCCATTCTGGCCAAAAATTTTCAGGAAGGTTGAAGAAGGGATTTAAACAAGGGGCAACAAGTGGAACACTTAAATCAGGCAGAGGACTGTTAGAGTGCATAAGATGGGTGATTTTATTGTCCAGGCTGAAGAAGCATCTGAAGAGGGGGGTGTTCTATTTTAATGCTACATTAGTAAAAAATAAAATGAGATGATGGCAAGAGAAATGGATTAAATTGTCTTTCCGGGAGTACCAGACTTGGCCATTACAACAACAATCTGGTGGCATAAGTAGATAACAAAAAATAAAATGTATGCCATAGACTATAACAAGTAGAACAGGAGGAAATGTAATATTATATATAGGTTAACATCCACTCATCCACAACATTAACACAGCAGTGAAGTTAGATATTAACAGAATCACATCTATTAAGCATCATGGGATAAAAAGGGCTAGATACCTAAAGACACTTTATAATGTGTGTAAGCTAGGTTTCAGTGACAGTTTTAACAAGAGGAATTCCTCAAGGCTGAAGTCACAAGGGCAGCTAAAGCAGAGAACATAACTGAAATGGGAGGCTAAGCAGGAATCAACTGACAGTAGCGACAAACTTACAGTTCTGAAAGGGCCTCAGCAATTTGCAAGGAAACCTCTCTCTCCAAAGTAGTCAAAGTGGAAGTGGAGGGATGGAGACAGAGCCTACTAGACCTAGTTTCCACTGATTTTGAAGAAATCATTTGGATTTATGAGATTCTCTAATTGCTAGACACAAGCACCTAGAAAAAACAGATTTTGGGAAGGGAGATTTAAAATTATTTTTGAGTATACAGAAGTGAACTAACTGAAATAGATATTGCAAAGAAAAGGGTGTTACATAGGCTGAGGTATACTGTAGTCTGCTTTTCCAGTTAACATTTATCCCTGTTTTAAAAATTTTGTTAGAAGAAACTAACTAATTAACTAACTAACTAAATAAAATCTATAATTGCTTATAATGAAGATTACAAGCATATCATCAAAAGAAAAAGTCTTTATAAAACCTGGAAGAGCAGGAAAAATATAAGAAACTCATTCAACTGAATCTATCTACAGCATGTACAAAAATAATCATTACAGCAAAAATGCAAGGAAAACATGGTAGATACAATTTGTTCTTAATATTTTTTTAATGTACTAAAGGGAAGCCTGAGAGAAAGTTAGTGTAGGTCACCCTAAAGCCTAGAGGTTGACAGAACACATTAGAATGAGAAGCTAAATAAAGTTTTGCCAAAGGTGTACAGATTAGACAAGGAAAACGTATCGTAACAACTATACCAAAGATGGTGTTTGGGAGCATAGGATGAAGACAATATAATCATGAGCAGAGTTCTCTGTAAAACAAAATATTAAAAGAAAATCCCAGAATGCAAGAAAGATAGTCAATAGGATCCTAGGCTGCATTTGAGGAGAGACATTATAAACCAGACTAAGAAAATTAATATTTTAATTTTTCTATAAGTTTGAGAAGAGTGTTAGAATTAGAGACCCGGAAAATCAAGTAATCAGTTTAGCTACTGAACAGTTACACCATTGGTGAAGACAGACACTTCATTATGCCATTCCACCAATGTGCCACAACTCTGACCACCTCTAGAGGCAAGATATTGTTCATAGATTCCATGTCCATTCAATCCTTGGTCTGTGCTGGAACTGTTATCTATCTTTTGTCAATCACTATCAAGTCCAGAGGTGGCTTTTGTCATTTGTCTACTTGTCCATATGGAATTGGACTGAGCACCAGATCCATCTCATTGACCAAACACCCATCAAACAGTAATAGCTTTCAAGCACTACCAATGAGGCCTATAATCTGAATTTGCAATAAAGATGAAACTCTCTATATCCTATCTTCAGTCCCTCCAAGTCATGCAATCCGCCATAAGAAAAGCTATGACAGAGAAACACTGAGGCCCCAAAATGAAGTACCATGATAGTTTATGGTTCTTTTAACTCTGTAGGGATGCAAAAATTCTAAAGAAGATAAAAAAAAAACCCTGATAAATTAAACAAAGGCATAGAGGGTCTTAGCTATTATGAAAGATTGATACCTTGTGCCTACACAGTAGAAGCTGAGAAAGAGAAGGTAGTAGGAAATCTTATTGCAATATATACCTAAAAGAGGATCACAAAGACATGAGTGAGGACATGTTTGAGGTAAGCAGCAAAAAACAAACAAACAAACGGACTCTCCTAAATATTAAATAAAGATTTTATTTCTCTGGAAGAAAGGGGGATGGTAAATCAGTGTGTCAAATTCTTTTGCCTCCAGAATTACCTGACTAAAGGGACAGTTACTTGGACACCAGTGACTTGGGACTAGATGTTTAATTATGGTTATTCATGTACAGGGTGAGAAGCATGAGAAACAATTTCTTCCAACCCCAGTGTACAACGCCATGGACTACCAGGAGAAGGTAGGTGGGTCACCTTCCACTGAAGACTGAACCTGGATCCTCCATTAGGATTAGACAGGCAAAATAATGTCATATAATTGCAAGGAATTGGCATAAGCAGACTTCAGTCCTGCTTGCTGTCTTCTTTTACTACATAAAAAAAAATGATATAAAGAACATTCTCACCTGACCAGGCTTCTCACTAACAATTCTTAACATTGCAATCACAGCATGTTCTTTCTGTAGATGGTCTAATCCTGGAGCATTCGGATCAGGAACATCACCCAAACCATCTCTTCCATGATACAAAGCCCATTCCACAGGACCACCAAGTAAGGGAGTAGAAGCACCTTGATAAACTGGAATCTAAACAAGGTGCAAAACCAGACTGAATATACCATGGCTGCACATCATCTAAAGACATATTGCCTCTCTTTACATTTATATTATCCCAGTACTGCCACCAACATTTTATTTAGAGTATTAACCCTGTTGTTACAGAAATGCACATAATCTATTGTAAGGAGCAGATTATGTTTGGAGCAAGTCTCAGGAGTGGTTAATTATTATTCATGCTGTCTTCTTGTTACTGATTGAGGGGCCCCCCACCCGCGACTACCAGCTCCTCTCCCTCGCCCCCAACTATGGTTCGCCTGAGTGCCTCCAGCCTCAGAGCATCGGGCAGGCGCCCCCACCCCCGGGCAGGCAGCAGCGCAGCCTCCCCTCCCCAGCCCCGGAGCACCGGGTGGGCGGGCAGACGGCACGTGCCCCACTCAACACTGGGTGGGTGGATGGCATGCGCCCCCCCTCCCACCCCAGAGAACTAGGCAGGCGGTGCATCCCCCCAGCCACGAAGCACCAGGTAGGTGGGTGGGCTGCATGCGGCCCCAGCCAGGAGCCATACCAAATCCCAGCCGCCCTAGCGCCAGCCCCAGAAGGCTCCCTGGAAGAGGAGCAGCCTGCCTGGTCTGGGGCCAAGGGCAAGCAGGAAGGGCCTCGGGGCGGAGCATGGGCAGGGCCACGTGGGGCTGTTTGGGGAGTCACAGCCTTCCCCAGCCTATCATAGAATCATAGAATATAAGGGTTGGAAGGGACCCCAGAAGGTCATCTAGTCCAACCCCCTGCTCGAAGCAGGACCAATTCCCAGTTAAATCATCCCAGCCAAGCCTGACCTTAAAAACCTCTAAGGAAGGAGATTCTACCACCTCCCTAGGTAACGCATTCCAGTGTTTCACCACCCTCTTAGTGAAAAAGTTTTTCCTAATATCCAATCTAAACCTCCCCCACTGCAGCTTGAGACCATTACTCCTCGTTCTGTCATCTGACACCATTGAGAACAGTCTAGAGCCATCCTCTTTGGAACCCCCTTTCAGGTAGTTGAAAGCAGCTATCAAATCCCCCCTCATTCTTCTCTTCTGGAGGCTAAACAATCCCAGCTCCCTCAGCCTCTCCTCATAACTCATGTGTTCTAGACCCCTAATCATTTTTGTTGCCCTTCGCTGGACTCTCTCCAATTTATCCACATTCTTCCTGTAGTGTGGGGCCCAAAACTGGACACAGTACTCCAGATGAGGCCTCACCAATGTCGAATAGAGGGGAACGATCACGTCCCTCGATCTGCTCGCTATGCCCCTACTTATACATCCCAAAATGCCATTGGCCTTCTTGGCAACAAGGGCACACTGCTGACTCATATCCAGCTTCTTGTCCACTGTCACCCCTAGGTCCTTTTCCGCAGAACTGCTGCCTAGCCATTCGGTCCCTAGTCTGTAGCTGTGCATTGGGTTCTTCCGTCCTAAGTGCAGGACCCTGCACTTATCCTTGTTGAACCTCATCAGATTTCTTTTGGCCCAATCCTCCAATTTGTCTAGGTCCTTCTGTATCCTATCCCTCCCCTCCAGCGTATCTACCACTGCTCCCAGTTTAGTATCATCCGCAAATTTGCTGAGAGTGCAATCCACACCATCCTCCAGATCATTTATGAAGATATTGAACAAAACCGGCCCCAGGACCGACCCTTGGGGCACTCCACTTGATACCGGCTGCCAACTAGACATGGAGCCATTGATAACTACCCGTTGAGCCCGACAATCTAGCCAGCTTTCTACCCACCTTGTAGTGCATTCATCCAGCCCATACTTCCTTAACTTGCTGACAAGAATACTGTGGGAGACCGTGTCAAAAGCTTTGCTAAAGTCAAGAAACAATACATCCACTGCTTTCCCTTCATCCACAGAACCAGTAATCTCATCATAAAAGGCGATTAGATTAGTCAGGCATGACCTTCCCTTGGTGAATCCATGCTGGCTGTTCCTGATCACTTTCCTCTCATGCAAGTGCTTCAGGATTGATTCTTTGAGGACCTGCTCCATGATTTTTCCAGGGACTGAAGTGAGGCTGACTGGCCTGTAGTTCCCAGGATCCTCCTTCTTCCCTTTTTTAAAGATTGGCACTACATTAGCCTTTTTCCAGTCATCCGGGACTTCCCCCGTTCGCCACGAGTTTTCAAAGATAATGGCCAATGGCTCTGCAATCACAGCCGCCAGTTCCTTCAGCACTCTCGGATGCAACTCGTCCGGCCCCATGGACTTGTGCACGTCCAGCTTTTCTAAATAGTCCCTAACCACCTCTATCTCCACAGAGGGCTGGCCATCTCTTCCCCATTTTGTGATGCCCAGCGTAGCAGTCTGGGAGCTAACCTTGTTAGTGAAAACAGAGGCAAAAAAAGCATTGAGTACATTAGCTTTTTCCACATCCTCTGTCACTAGTTTGCCTCCCTCATTCAGTAAGGGGCCCACACATTCCTTGGCTTTCTTCTTGTTGCCAACATACCTGAAGAAACCCTTCTTGTTACTCTTGACATCTCTGGCTAGCTGCAGCTCCAGGTGCGATTTGGCCCTCCTGATAACATTCCTACATGCCCGAGCAATATTTTTATACTCTTCCCTGGTCATATGTCCAACCTTCCACTTCTTGTAAGCTTCTTTTTTATGTTTAAGATCCGCTAAGATTTCACCATTAAGCCAAGCTGGTCGCCTGCCACATTTACTATTCTTTCGACTCATCGGGATGGTTTGTCCCTGTAACCTCAACAGGGATTCCTTGAAATACAGCCAGCTCTCCTGGACTCCTTTCCCCTTCAAGTTAGTCCCCCAGGGGATCCTGGCCATCCGTTCCCTGAGGGAGTCGAAGTCTGCTTTCCTGAAGTCCAGGGTCCGTATCCTGCTGCTTACCTTTCTTCCCTGTGTCAGGATCCTGAACTCAACCAACTCATGGTCACTGCCTCCCAGATTCCCATCCACTTTTGCTTCCCCCATTAATTCTACCCGGTTTGTGAGCAGCAGGTCAAGAAAAGCGCCCCCCCTAGTTGGCTCCTCTAGCACTTGCGCCAGGAAATTGTCCCCTACGCTTTCCAAAAACTTCCTGGATTGTCTATGCACCGCTGTATTGCTCTCCCAGCAGATATCAGGAAAATTAAAGTCACCCATGAGAATCAGGGCATGCGATCCAGTAGCTTCCGTGAGCTGCCGGAAGAAAGCCTCATCTACCTCATCCCCCTGGTCCGGTGGTCTATAGCAGACTCCCACCACTACATCACTCTTGTTGCACACACTTCTAAACTTAATCCAGAGACACTCAGGTTTTTCTGCAGTTTCGTACCAGAGCTCTGAGCAGTCATACTGCTCCCTTACATACAGTGCTACTCCCCCACCTTTTCTGCCCTGCCTGTCCTAGCTGCCATCCATGACATCAACCATGAATGGGTTTACAATGAAAGTGAAGCAGGATCTCAGCTTCTGCAAATCTTCAAACCTGTCCTGAAAGTCATCAAGCAGTCCCTGTAATTTACCTTTGTATTCCTTGAGTTTGTGATCTTCTACTTTGATTTCAGAAAATGTGTTTACCCTACTCTTGAAATAGGGAAAGTGGTTGAAGTCTCTTGACACTATGTTTCTTTTCAGAAACTTTAACTTGTTCTGGAAGCTGAAGATGCTGAGTAAGGTTAGAAATAATCTTATCCTTCCCTTGGATTGCCAAATTGAGAGTTTGCAGATGCTGTATAATATCAGTGACAAACATAAGATCCTCTATCCATTGCTCATCTCTCAATTGTGGATAGGACTGTTCCTTTTCTTCAATGAAAGCACTGATAGGCTCCAACAGTTCCACAAATCTATTTAAGACATTGCTGGTTGACAACCACCTCACAATACAGTAGAAAGACACATTGTTGGGTTTATCTTCAAGATCCAGCTCTTCAGTGAAATTTTTGAACTGTCGATGAGTCTTCCCATTTGAGCAGATGAAATTGACAATTTCTGGGACTATTTTTGTAACATTTTCATACTTGAAGTATCTGCCTGTGAGATGTTCATGATGGATGATGTAATGAAAAAGGAGAAACTCTGGAAATTTGGGATTGCTCTTCAAGAGTCCAATCAGGCCTACTTTTCCCCCCACCACCGCAGGTGTTCCATCAATTGCAACACTGACAAGTTTATCCAGTACATCGGCATTTGTCAATGCTTCGTCAAGTGCATTCTTTGTCAACACCATGGGTTGTTTTTTTTAGCGCCACTGAGTCCAACATTTCTTCTTTCACAATTACATCTGTGGAAACATAGTGAAAAAATATCGCCAGCTGCGGTTTACCTTGAATATCTGTGTATTCATCAACAGCTAGGCTGAATGCTAGAGAATTCTTTAGATCATTTTGCACGTTGCTTGCAACACCGTCACTGATCTGGGAGATCTGCCTCTCCATAATGTGGCATGAAATTGGAATCTGCTGTATTAATCACTGAAGTTTAGTGTTACTTGGATTTAAAATTGCAACCACTTCTGCAATATTCTTCTTAACAAATTCTCCATCACAACATGGACATTTAGCAGGAGCGATATTCCATGCCATAACAAAACTAGCTTCAGTCATTGTGTCAGCTTCCTTACTGAGCAGAGAAAGTAGTGTCTGTTGACTGTTGAGGCATAATTGTAATGTGATTAGCTTGTTTTTCCTTAATTCTGATCTAGGAGGGTACTTAGACGAAAAGTTATTGTGTGTTGTTTCAAGCTGCTCACTTTGTAGTGAGAGCACAATGCATTGCAGATTAGGCACAGGGGGTTGCCATCTTTACTAGTAAATGAAAAAGCTTCCTCCCATTCTGGCTGAAAACTTTGGTTTTCTTCTTCATACATGCATTTCTTACAGTTTGAAGATGTCATTGTCATCCATGAAATTAATTTAAAGTTAACACTTAAATCTAAAACTATTCAAATGCAACTTATGAACAGGAAACACAGCCTGTAGTGTGCAGCATGCAGGGAGATCACAGCACACGAGGTCTGCACAGCACTACAGTGATGCA